TGGAACGCTTGTTTGCTCATTCACATCGAGAAATGCGTGCGCTCGTGCGATCGCCGCGAGTGCCGGACGCACGGTTCTCACGATCGGCGCGCTGTGCCTCGGCGCGTAGATATATGCGATAAGGATCGACGGTTATGTCGTCGTATATGAACTTTGCCGCCTCTGCGAGCCGCGTTGGAACGTCTACGTCGCGTGGTCGCCTCGAATATGCGTCAATAACGTGTGCACTTGTAATATATGTACTTAGATTATGCGCGCGGACGTTAATCACCGTCGCCGGAGGGAGAAAGAAGTAACATAAATCGGGCCGGTCGCACCTGTCGGCTCTGGTGAAAAACCACCGTGCATTAATGCACGTTAATTGCGGTCGGATAATGCGTTCGGAATGAATTTTTACTCTACCGATGGCCGTTGCGGGTAGGGGGTAAGCAGGAATGCGACCGTCGGGTGATTCATGAGTGATAACCGGAGGGTAACGTACATATGAATTACAAACCACTTTTCTCTTATCGCACTCGTTTACATACCGTAATTATATTATGTGAATTATGAACAATTGGATTGTAGGTTGTGCTATATTCTCTTTTTTTTTTCTTTAATCGCGTTTAAATATATTACAAATGTAAATCGAATCAGAAGGTATTATAATATTTTACTCGAGTAATAACTGCCATCATGCAACGTTTTAATGATGATACTGAGAGAATTTCAGTGTTTGTACTTTGCGACGTAACTTCCGTGGTTACACAGTCGTTTACGTTTACGCGGTCGGGTAAAGCGTTTCCGAAATTGCTCCTCTTCGAGAACTCGGTAAATTAAAGGTAAATGTGTATTGCGAGACGATAAAGCTGCCTTAAGCTTTCGACGAAAAAGCCGTGCCTCGCTCCTTCGAGGGTTATCGAACCAGCAATTGCGAACTTTCTTGTGATCCTCTCTCGTCTACGCATGAGCGCGTTGCGCTCCGTCGGTTTTTCACGGGGAAACAAAGGAGTCGATCCACGTGTTGCGGGACGAAATTCGATTTCCGCGACACCCCCTGCGAGCAAAGTTCCAGAATCGATGCCGATATATTTCGTTCTGAGAAGAAGACATAAATCTTCTTGGCGGATAGAGGGATTTGCCCGCGTTCTCCGTAGAACATTATTGCGTTATATTATACGTGCTGTTTAATACAAATCTTAATATTGTGTTTTAATGTTGTGTATATTCCAAGAACGATATAAAATGTATTTGCATGTAATATGTATATTTCCATATTTCATCTTTGAAATATTGTATAATATATTTCCAAATTCCAGTTTCTAAATAAAATTGATGTCATTCTTATGGCGTGTACTGAACGAACGCGTCGCGCAATTCGCTAGGCTCGAACGTCATGGTGTGATAAACGAAATACACCCTTGCGGATTATCGAGTCGAGTTGCCAGGTATTCGGAGAGCAGGGGTAATGGGACACGTAATAACATCTGTAGGGTCAACGTAACGATCGACATGTCACATCGTCGCTTTATAGATCCAGCGACAGCCAGTCGCTCGTGGACAGAACGAGAGCTGAATAAAGATAGAACACGCATGTATTGCGCTTAGAAACTGAAGAGGTAAAATCGGAGACTACAAAGGGAAGAGAAACGGCAACGAGTAAATTAATGGATGTTATGATGGATGACTGCCAAAGGGAATACTATAGTAGCAAAAAAACAATTTTAATTCCACAGTTTTAATATAAAAAGGGCACGTTTAGCGGAAAAAAACATGTATCAAACAAGAGTGATGTTTAAATAACATTAAATTACTCAACAGAGTAAAAAGCCTCGTATATCCCCCGGTGCGTGTTCTTCGAGAATGTGCAGAAACGAAAAGTTCTTCTTCGTTAAAAGTTCCCCACTGTGCGGAATGTCCAAATGTTTAATTTATCCTCCGGAACTCGATTGAATTGCAGTTCCTTCAACTCTCGACCTAGATCACAAAAATGGCATATTGCGATAATTTAAATATTGAGGATCATTTTGACGTGAGAAAAGTTCATTTACAAAATGAACGCGCACTATGCATAGAATCCAATCACTTCTTTTTTAAATATCCACTTCTATATCCGCGTGCATGTTCATTGTCGACAAAAATGTTTAAGTAGAGACGGGAACTTTATTCTTGGATTCACAAGTGACGGGATCACCGAAGCGCGACGGAATAAATGGAAGCGTGGAGATACGGCAAGACCGTGTGCAAACGAAACAATAAAAGTGGATAAGGAATAAATAAAATGGTCGAAAAAGGCGAGGAAAAAGAGACGGAAAACGGTGAGGAATTGCGGACGAAAGGAACAACTTGAATCGAGAGACAGAGAGAGAGAGAGAGAGAGGGGGGAGGGAGGGAGAGGGAGGGCGAGGGAAAGAGGGAGAGGAAGGACAGACGGAGAGAAAATGTCGGAGAGAACGGAGAACGCTGTACGCCGGAGAGATGAGAGCGAGAGAGGGTGCGAGTTTATAGAGGTTGAGGGTGGCAAGCGGAAGAAGGGGAGAAGAGAGGGTGCTGCAGACGCGCCACGACAAGGGTAAATGTACGTACGAATGCACCCCGGATTGGCTTCGGGATGGTTTCCATGGAGACCAAATCGCTCGGCCCGGGGAAAGTCGTCGCCGCCGCCGCTTCCACCACCGCCACCGCTGCCGTCGCCGCCGCCGCCGCCGCCACCGCCACCGCCGCCGCCGCCGCCGCCGCCGCCGCCGCCACCACCGCCACCACCACGTTACTGCCACCGCGGACACAGCTTTCCCCGGAAAATCGTATTGCCTCTACTAAACGCCAAAAAGTTGGAAACGACCGGTTCGCTCATTACCTGCGGGATCTCGCGCGCGAGATCTCCACTCAGCTGGAGATTCGCGACGGAGAAGTAAAATTGTCAGCCAGATCTCCTTCGATGCAAAATTAGCTCGATTAAATTCCGATAAATTACATTTGTTTTGACGGGATCAATTCCGGGCCCGATAATGCGAATCGCGTTACGTTTTGTGGTGATCAACGATAAAATACACGGAAAGAACGAATTTGCTAAAGTGAAGTGTCTAAAAATTCAGCTGAACAAAGATCTGAAAATAATCTTGTTGGATTGTCATAACAATAATGTGGAACGCTTAAATTGGTTAATAGAATGTCGAAACTTTTTGCATCACTGTCATCGTGCTTGAGCGCCTCCTAAATTTAACTTAATGGTTAAAAAAATTATTTTCAAATCTGTATCTAGCTTTTTAGATATTTCAACCAAGCCTTTTTTTCCATGCATTTTTTATTTTCAACATATTCATATGTGATTATAAAAGGTATTAAAAAGCAAATTTAAAATAGAAAATAAAATGCATAATTTATTTAATATTCATAAAGCAATTGTATTTAAGTAACAGAGATGCACTTTTTATATAATTTCTGTAAGAAATTCAATGCGTTAATCTGATTTGTTTTAAAATGAATATTAAGGCTTAAATTAAAAGGCATAGAGTATTTTTTATGCAATTAAATAGACGATTCTTTTTTAATTGAAAATATTATCTACTTACGAATATTAGTAATCTGTTTTGGCACATTTTATAGCGTGTTGCATGTGAATAAATTTAAGAAAGTCGTAAGAAACTGATATGAGGCTATGAATGCAAAAATCAAGAATTTTTATAGCGTGTAGCGATGAGAAACTCGAGAAGGAATTTACGACGCCAGCGTCCCGACCCCGATAATTCCGTACTTAAGTAAAATGCGGCGACATCGCCGCTGCATGGAACTCGACGTAAGCGAAAATTCATGATTTACATTGTCAAGATATAATTCTTAGACAATCTAGAAAGTTGATATCCTACAGCGATGTAGAACCGCCGGGGATAAAAGTTTTTGCTTGAAAGATCCCCACTCTCTGTACGTGAAATAAATCTGCAAAGCAATATTCTGTACGAACATATATACTCTATACAGTATCAGATTCAAATATATAATAATTTTTACAAATAATTAATATTTAAAGATATTTAATATAAAAATATGAAATTTTTCTCTTTTTAAAACTTGTGATTACGCAACGAAATTCGCGAAACGTAATTCGAAACATTCATAAATGGATCATTTTATATTTTCTTAAAAAAAAAAAAAAAATTCAATTTAAATTTTAGTCGGAAATGAGAGTCAGTGAAGGAATTCCTTTTGGAAAATGTCACGTCGGGATTCTCTGACGGACGGGAAATTGTGTACGAAGGATAGAATTGCGCAACTTACTCCCTTATACATTACCTTGGCACACTCGACGTGTCTAAGATGAGCATTTTTGCCAGATAAAACGAGATATAAATTCTCTTCTCTCGCACCGGGTGTAAACTCAAAGTTTGCAAATTGAGCGGTCGCAAGGGACGATAGGGCAGCAGCTCGCGCTACACGCAGACACGGTCGTCTCTAATAAAATTGTCCCTCCAGGGCTGGTTTCCGTTGCCGTGTGAAAGCATCCTGATTGTATGCGCGAAATAGCGCTAAGTAATCCCAGTGTAATTTCGTCAGCGTTGCGATCTGTTCGTTGTGGCCATCTGGCACGATCGCGCGATACCGCCGAAACGAGATATTTGCGAGTACGACGAGAACGAGGGAGGGGGGAGGGAGAAGGGGGAGGGCAAGAGTCAGTCCCCCGATGTCTGCGTCGGGGTAACTTCCGCAATTTAGCGCGGAACGACGTTTCAAAGTTCTTTTAGGGGATGAAAGCCCGTGCGACGTGCGCGCCTTCAGCGCGTCTTACGAAAAATATTTTTCTTCCCCTGTCCCCAGGAGCAACGGCATATTTTCAGTGAGCTGGCGTAAACTGTGCGCGTTTAACAACGTTTGCGAAAATATTATTGCAGTAGAGGGATACGCAATAACGTCGCTAACTCCCACGAGAACATCAGCTGATCATGGACTTTTATTAAAAATAGAGTAATCTTCCATCATACGTAATAATTCAATATTAATAATTACAGCCGTTATAATTACATCAGTTACAACGCGTGTAGCACCGAAACGTATGACGCTGACGATTTAATGATCTACGACAAACAACATTGTTGCTTGCGTAAAAAGTGAATATTGTTGTTATCGTATATATAATACGGTTGATAATTTACGCGTAATGAAACGGAATAACGTACAAAGCGCGAACACATAATCCGATTGACATTAAAACTTACGTTTGCGAACTGTTGCAAAGAGAGATTTGTGAATCTGCCGACGGTGATCGTCAATTGTTTTTGTGACCTCATTATCAGAAATAGCAGGATTCGATTCTCGCTCGGAGTTAAATCGTACCACAGAGATTCGTATGCTGCGTCGCCGATCGTTTTGCTCTGGAAGTAAAATTGGAGCGAAAATTCGTAGCGTGAAAAACACAGGAAGTGAAGAATTTCCACGGTAAAATCAGCAGCCGTAATTTAGCTCACCTTGACACTTAGGTATTCGCCGGCGAAACAAAAGATAAACGCTTCTAAATTAATGACGATGTAAAACAAAAGAGATCTCACTAACATAGAGGAGCCTTGACTGGCGCCGATCGACTGGAATATCAAAAATATATGCACGAGCGAATTTTTTCTATCACCAATTGCGTGGTAAATATATTAAAGTTGTTGAATATTACGTACATATACATGTAAAAAATAATCACGATACTTGTAAATTTGATTTGCATTTTTTTTGTACTTGATCTGTGACATCGAAATAAATCAAAATGAAAGATTGATTACTCTGTATGGAAAAAGCCATTAAAATCACTTACATTTACGATGATAAAGCCCAAACAGCAAATAACGAGGGTGTTCGATATGAATTGGGCCAGCGCGATATACGAGTACAGGCTCTCAATCTTTCCGGTGAAAACAATGATGTTTTGATGTCTTCGAATTAACGGGCCTATTGAGATCATGGAGATAGTTGGTTTCTTTTTCTTTGATAAAATTTTCAATAATTTTTCCCGCAAAATGTCTATTTGACCGCCCACATGGAGCACCTATAACATTAGAGATTGTTTTATCAAGATTTAATTCTATTATCTATGCTCTTCATAAATTTTGATATTTTATGAATGTATTTAAAAAAATATATATATGTATATAATGCTGCATAATATAATAACATATATTGTTAAATTTTGAATGAAACAAAAATTTATTAACGATTCTTAAATTTATCATTCATAATGTTATAAATAAAAAGAAGTATTTCTGTAGAAATATTTAGAATAATATCTTAACAAAGCGATAACAATCACTATTTTTAACGTTAATTAAGAGAAGGCAAATAAGTCTAGTGTAAAAGTTTTGTTTAATGTACTAATTTGTTCCCAAGAAATTAGTCTGTTACTAGTCAGAAATCACTTTTTCACAAATAAGTTTTCTTCCAATTTTTCCTAAACAAATTGAAATGTGCTACAAACATCCATTGCGAGCTTTCTCCCGGGATTCACTCCCGGGGGTAATCTCAGTCGGGAACTTGAAAATCCCTCGGGGGTTGAAAGCCTTTCGAGGGGCCCCAACTTACCAGCGTAACGAGCAGCGCGCTGAGCACGCCGATCACGGTGGCGGCCGTCATCTGATGCAGGAATTGCGTGGTCATGACGACCTCGTAAATTGGCGACGTGCCACTCTCGAAGGGTAACTCCATCTTGAGAAAAAGTTCACGATCGGCAGGATCGGCGGCGTCGTCGCTGCGCAGGGCGACGACGCCGATGCCGTAGAACAGCACGGCCGTGGAGTGCAGGCCGATAATCAAATTGGAGAAACGATGCGACAGATTGGCCACGCTGTTCATGCTGTACAAGGCGTCCCCGCACTCCTCCCAGTCCGTCGCGATGCTTGTTAACACGTCGCTGAATATTCTAGGAAGAATCGATTTCGTGCAGCACCGCGAGAGCGAAGATGTTCCCCCCTCGAAGACTATGATTAGGAAACTATCTGTCTGTATGCGGTGATGAATGATGGACAGGGTGGGTCGAAAGATGCGACGGTAGATATCGATATCATGGTTGCTAATAATGACATTTCCCGATGTAATAATGATTACGATAAGAAATGGTGGTGAAGGGACGTACTAAAATCTATTATTTACAAATTGCTGATGGTGCATCATGAGAAAGAAAAGATACGCGTATCGTTTGCCGAAACAGTGGCTTCTAAATGTGCACTCGTGAAGCTTCGTCATTACAAAAAAAGTAACAATCACTAAATCTCTAATGTTTTAATATGATGCAGTATAATGATAATTACGGATGACACGCGAGCCGCTCCATATTATCGAAACGTTTGTTCGATTTGTACGACTCGTTAAGATCATGGACTGCAAGCAACGACGTACCGTTGTTTCGTCCAGAAAACAATCAACTTGACACACAACAAACTGTACGACAGCGTCGCGCTCAGGCCATCCATCAGCTGTGAGATGTCCTCGGAGTTAAGGTGCACCACCATGTGACGATACTGAAAGATCTGCGCGGCTATCATCGTCGTGGTCCAGAAAAGTCGATTGACGAACGCGTAGGCCGCACCTGGCCATATGCCAACGACCCGAAGTCCGATTTCGATCGATCGGGTAATTGTATTAGCTGCAGACATTATTTGACAAAGCTCAATCCTCGGTTGATCGATTAACGCGAACACGTTACATAATCGGCGATAAGGAGCTAAAATGCGATTAGGTCGTAAACGTCCTTCTCTCAAGAATCTCTTCGTTCAAAGAAATTGAGAGATACTTGTTAAAAATTATAAACTTTTCGAAAAATCAGAGAACGATTTGTTATCGTGATATCGGTTTTTTTTTACGGAGAACATATTAATCGACAAGAATAGAGAAGTTTCGGTATCGATGCGTCGATGGGGATTAGTGAAACAAATCCACAGTGGTCGCAGTTAACCGAAGCGCGCGCGGAAGAAACAACAGCGTCGAGCTCGATCGCGGAACAGATTTATGAACAATGAGAGGCACGAGACGCGCACCTGTAGACGCTGCGGATGGACTGAAGGATGCCGGAGGGTCACTTGCCGCGAGCCCTACCTTCGTCCACCGTCGACCGGGCAGGGGGCAGCTCATTAAATATTTTCATCGCTCCGCGTACGATAAAATTGTAGCGCGCGTCGTCGGCGATCGCCGATTTTGCGGATGGAAGGAAAACCGAGGGGGCCGTTCTTCCGCCCTACGCGCCGAACGGTACGGTGCCGTGCAATTTTCGTTAAAAATTTACGACCATGCAGAACGGAGGTCGCTGAGATGTGCAGCTCGGTTTATAATACGTCGAAAAATCATGCGCACTGATCTAAGGAAAAATGAAGAAGTTTCCGAAGGGTCGTGCCGGGAAGGAAGGGACGGTTATGGCGAGATTCGTGGAAATGGAGAATATATTATGGCAATTTTTTTTTATCGAGATGCCATACCGCAGCTTAAAGGCCACATCATTCGATGTTATTCTGTTCACTTGATTTATTACTAATAAGTTATACTATTTTGGAATATGCATTTGTGTTGTGTGTTATGCACTCGTATAATTAATGAGTTTATAAATTACCATATATAATATATACTTTAGAACTGTCAATTAAAAGTCAAAAAGATAAAACGTGATATTCATCGGATCACTAATAATATACCGATAAGTACAATTCTATAAAATTTATGATCTATAATAAAGCGTCAGAATGTAATATATTTATTATTACACTCAAAGTATTGTCTCCAGAATGTAATATTTATTAAGTGTAATAAAGATATGTAAGAAAATATAAAGCTGAGAGATATATAATTGCGGCAAATGTTAGATATAATCAAATGAATTATCTCATATACTGTGTACAAATCTTACTCTTGCGAAGCATTCTAAAGAGATCCATTTTCCTAATTGAAGTGAGCGTCAGTTGTTTCTGCGATCTCACAACAGTATCACGAATAACAGAATGTAATTGCGTTCGTTCTAGATCCGGATCCAACAGTTTTTCTCTGCAAAGATAAAAATAATAATAAAATTTAATTTTCTAAAATTTAATTTTCTAAAATCATGATCAAATAAAAAAATGTAAATTAAACAATAAACTGAGTCATATTAATTAATTTACGTTTTTCTTGATTGCATATCACAGAATCTAATGTATGTCACTTCTCAAAAATTTTATTGTAATTTTATCTTTTTTTATTATATGATAGATTGTTCATAGAACAGTTAAAGAGAAGTTTAAGAATTGTCCAACAGTCAACAGCTTAGTTTTCGCTCATCGGATTTGTCTGATATTTCTGTACGTAATAAAGCATGAATGCCTCGAGATTTGCTACGCTGTAAAACGGAAAAGCTCTCACTATTTTTCCCGTCGCATCGGGACTGTCGAATGCCTGCTTTAAAATATGATTTGATGAAGTTATGAATAATTTATTGACGCAACGTTTTATATATGTGCAATGCAGAACGTGAAAAAAATTAATATATTACGCTGATGCAAACACGTATTTAACGGCAACTGATTTTGTGGATTAAAATATTTATTTTTATTTAGTTATACTATTTAACGCTTGTTATGATTAAAAATCCTAATAACAAATTATCACAGCGTACAAATATTTATTTAGCCATCTGCATTATTTTTCAAAATATATCAAATATATATTTTTTATTTACTTTTATTACAAATAATGCATTTATTACAATTGTGTATTGGTTATCAATTACTGCACTTGTAACTTACGAAAGATAGCAGTAAAGTGTTTCAAATCGAAATTTGTACATGAGAACGTGCATTTTATGATTAATATAACTTTTTACACATGAGTTATGTTTATGCATATCTGTGTGATATCTAAGGAAAATTTAATTTTATGTATGTATGTATGTAGAACAGTTCGAGCATGACATTTTGTTGCGACATCATAATAACTTAACATTAATAAAAATTTCGAGTGCTTTAAGACGCTACATTGAAACAGACCATCAAGTCGAATATGTATATCGAAATAATACTGCGTAAAGAGATTGTTAGCAGAATTTTAAACAATTGTTATTGTGACAATCTAAAATATTCTACATGGTGTAACATAATATGTCTGGTCACATATCAAAGCATAAATTTTGTTATTCGATTAGTAGTACTTTTTACGGGTCATGACCTCGTATCTATTCTTACTGTCTCTCGTGTACATAAAAGCACATCAAAATACATATACATTTAGGAGGAAAGAATAACTCTTGAAAACATTAAAAAATATAGTTTCGCTGAATACATATATTTTTTGTCAACCACAACTCGATGTTATCGTGAAATATCCAGAAAACTGGGAGGTCGTAGGGGGTCATTACATACACAGGTGTACCCCGAGGCCAACGGCCAATAGGAGTCGCACATTAAATATTTTCATCATACCATGAGTACAAACGCATTCGTCCTGGTGGTGTGTTCCTCCCGACATTGATAAAAGACAGGTATAGGCAGAATTATTTCTCCCTCTTTCGTGCACCGCTGACGTGATCGCAAATTGTTTGCCTTAAATATGCATCGGCACACGCGGAACATAGGCGGGGCAACGTACGTCCGATGGCAAATCGTGCGATCAGGGGGGATCCTTCGAAAAGTTTTTGAAACTTAGAGGGTGTAGAGACCTCGACGATGAAACAGAAAATTGTGCGGTGCTATGAGAACACGTGTGTGCTATTTTTTGTGAACGCAATATCTGAATGTGCACTGATGGTGTAGCAATATTTGACGAGAGATTAATTAAAGCCTGCGGATATTGATTGACGAATATAAAAGTAAGTATAGTTTATTATACAATGTGAAAGTAGGGCATTTATATATGTCGCGCGATGTCACGCAGAAATGATTTAACAGTGTCATATTGAAGATATTATATATTTATTATATATTTATTTGAGAAATATTGGTCTCTTTCGAATTTGCTTTGTCTAAACTTTAACTGTGTAAATGTGTACATTATATCTCAGAGTTTCATATCCGCGTAGATAAAGTTTCACATCATGTTCTTTAAATTACTACAAATGTATTTAGGAAACGGTCTATATTGCGTGTGTTTCACAAGTATTAGTTGAGAAGATCGACGAAATAATGGACGTGACATTCATTACATCGTTACGTTAAATAATGTATAGTAAAAATTTGCAATCAATTATGTGCAAAAAATTTTATAGTAAATTAATTCTGAAAAAAATAAATATTACTTAACAAACATTATATATATATGTATATATATATATATGTATATGCAAATAATGTGTAAAATTAGTAATTCTTACATTCGCAAAATATTCTAAAGAAAGATCCGCCATTTTTCCAATAGTAAGCTTTAATTGCTTTTGCGATCTTAATATTATAAACGATAAGATACGAGTGTCCTCAGGTTTCAAATTATACCATGCGGTATTGTATGCTACGGTTCCGATCGCTTTACTCTGAAGATGGAAATAATGAGAAAGAATTTCAATTTGTTTCATAAATTTTTTGTTACAATATTTAACTTCTTTTTTCAATGTTTTAACACGAAATTATTTAACATTTTATCAACGTTATAAATATCATTTGTGCTAACCTTGTTGTTCAGATATTCTCCAGCAAAGCAGAACACAAATACTTCTAAATTCGTTATGGTATAAAATAGGATCCTATTATTGCAGCTCTATCGCGTCGGGTGTATCGATTGTCTGTAAACAGAAAGAAATCATTATCTTGTTGCACAATTATAAATAGTTGCCTCTATTTTACATATTTCATCTGTGTTATGAAATACAGAGGAATTAATTGAAATAATCGTGTGTTTATTAGCAAAGCTAGACCCGATAGATAGTATAATCATTAATATATATGTAACATTTTAATCTGCATCTTTTACTCACGCTTACGATGAGGAATACCAATGAGCAAATCATTGTCGTGTTAGACAAAAACTGCAACAACGCGATGTACGTGTATAGATTTTCGATGTTCTTCGAGAAATTAATGTTTTTCTGATGTTTCTGGATAATTTTGTCCGTTGTGATTCACTCGTGCTTCTTTCCACTCTCCTTAGATGCGAAATTTATCAACCAGTGATGCAGGATATCCATTTGGCCACCTACATGTAAAACCTGACAGAGAAGATTCGATTTTCACTTAAAGTCTTTTTAGCTATATGTAAAAATAATTAAACTACGAATAATTTATTATATGGAAGAATAAAACAAGGCAATTTGCAAATGTAATTTGCGAAAATTAAATAAATTGGATGAAATGCCTACAGATAACATATTTCATATTGTTAATCTTCAATTTTACATAGTTACGTACTTGAGAATGTAGAACAATATTAAAGTATAAGCTAGTATCGACATATATAATCTCGAAGTATTTATAATTTAGAAGAATATTATATTTTTGTATTAGAGAATTTAATATATTTTTTCTATTTCTAATATTAGGAAAAACTTTTTTCATTGAGAATGGAATTTCTATGTATAAATCTTACACTTGTAAAAGATTTTAAGAATAGCTCCAACATCTTTCCGGCTGTAAGGATCAGTTGCTTTTGCGATCTTAATATGACAAATAACAGAACGCGACTGTCTTTAGATTTCATATCGTATCATGCATAAATTATATGCAGCAAGATTAATTTCGTTGCTCTATAAAGATAGGAATAATAGAGAAATTTTTAATACTTTAGTAGATATTTTTTACGATATCTTTTTTAATTATATATAATACGCTACTATTTAGTATTAATATTTAACGATAAATATTAATATTTTATCATAAATTATTATCAACCTTGTTTTTCAAATATTCTTCAGCATATATGCTTTGAAATTTGTTTGAACGTAAAATAAAAAAGATCTCACTAATTAAACTGTTGCATTGGGGCTGCCTGCAATATTATGCAATATAACATTCGAAAAATTATTAAGTATAAACTTAATATAAAATTAATAATGTACAAACAAATTATTAAATGTAATGAAATATGTGTGTGTATGTATGTGTGTGTGTGGAATTATTATATTATAATATACTAACAAAATATTTTACTTTTTAAAATATTGTATGTTATATATGTATAATAAAAAGTGAATGTAATTAATAAAAATAAAATTTAAATAGGTAACATAAATTTGAATATTAAAAAGTAAACTAAGATTTAATATCATATTATTTGCAAATATATTTAAAAAATATACTATAAGTTTATATTTAATAATGTTGCTCATTATTCACCAAGATTACGACAAGAAAAGCTAGCAAACAAATCACGAATCATTCACGAATTTGACACAAATAGCATCAACGCAATGGACGCATAAAGACTTTTGATATTTTCCGATAAACGTATAATCTTTTTATGCTTTTTAATAACTTTAGTTTTTGCAATGGCGAGTAATTTATCTTTACTCTCATCTTCGGAAGATGCTGTAAGCTGCGTTAACCAGTGACGCACAATATTGATTTGGGCAGCTGTGTAAAAAGTCTGAAAATAAAGTTTCCATTGTTTGTGGAAATAATCGGAATCCATAACTGATATTTGAACAGTGCAAAAAATAAGCATTGTACTAAACGATATTAACAAAATGCATGGAAATAATAAATCTGGTAATATAAATAATTTATTTTAATCTTTTGATTTATCATGTGTATCGAATTTTTAAAAGTCGCACAATGTAAGTTACTATATAAATTAAATTTAAAAGTTATTCCAATTATATTAATTTTGTGAATTCTCGATTTATTAGAATTAATAATAAAGCATTTACTATACCACCAGACTACAAACTTACAAAAGAAATCCGTCATAACGATACATCTAAATGTGCGTTACGTGTTTATTTTGAAGAAAACTCCCATCTTTGAGATAAAGCGTAATTCCGTCTTATTATTGGTGACATCGACATTGGCCACACCAATGCCGAAGACAAACACTAAGATTGCATGAAGAATAAGTAACATGTTTGTAATACGTTCCGACGTTTTCGCTTTGCTCGTTATCTCACGCATGCTGATGTTGTTATTAGCGCAATCACTCCGATCTTCCCGCATCATTGTCAAAACTTCAATGAATTTTCTATGAATGATGGTATTTGTCGATCACATTATCAATTTTAAAGCAATCTTAATTTTTGCATTTATTTTAGACATTATTATTTCTAAATGTTATATACATACATATATAATATATATATATATATATGTATATACAGAGACCGCCAAAAGTTTGGGGCTGCCTAAATAATTGCTGAATAAGATATTGGGTTGAACTTTACAGGGTTACAATGGCAAAATGTAATCTATCGTTTAACCTTGAAAACATCCACTTTAACTCTCTGAGGGGGATTGGGGAAGGGGAGGTTGAAAATCTTAAATGGCATGTGGGATCGAGTGAGGGCTTGTTTGAAAGGGCTTTTCGAGATAAGAAGAACGCGAGGTCGTTGAGGTCTCTACGATTTTTTTTTTCGCAGAGTTATGATCATTTGAACATTGGTGTTTTTTAACACTAGCGAGGCCCAATGTTCAAATGAGCATAACTCTGCGAAAAAAAAAATCGTAGAGACCTTAACGATCTCGCATTCTTCAGATACAATTTTTACAAATAATTAATATTTAAAGATATTTAATATTAAAATATAAAACTTTTCACTTTTTAAAACATCTAATATGAAAAATTAGAATTGTGATTACGCAACAAAATTCGCGAAACGTAATTTGAAACATTCATAATAAATGAATCATTTTACATTTTCTTAAAAAAATTTAATTTAAATTAAAATAAATTTTAATTTAAAATCTAGTCGGAAATGGGAGTTAATGAAGGAATTCCTTTAGGAAAATGTCACGTCGGGATTCTCTGACGGACGGGAAATTATATACGAAGGACAGAATTGCGCAAATTATTGTCTTATACATCACCTTGGCACATTCGACGTGTCTAAGACGAGTATTTTTGCCAGATAAAACGAGATACTATAAATTCTCTTCTTTAGTACCGGGTGTAAACTCAAAGTTTGCAAATTAAACGGTCGTAAGGGGCGATAGGACGGCAGTTCGCGTTACACGCAGCCACAGTCGTCTCTAATAAAATTATTCCTCCAGGCTGGAGGCCGTGCCGTTTCCGTTGCCGTGTGAAAGCGATCGACCTGATTGTATGCGCGAAATAGCGATACCTAAATAGTTCTAGTATAATTTCGTCTGCGTTGTGATCTGTTCGTTGTGGTTGCTATCTGATACTATTGCGCGATATCATCGGAACGAGATATTTGCGAGTACAAGTCGTACTGTATGACGAGAACGAGGGAAGGGGGAAAGTCAGTCTCCGCTGCGTCGGGGTAACTTCCGCAATTTAGCGCGGAACGACGTTTCTTTTAGAGGATAAAAGCCTGTGCGACGTACGCGCCTTCAGCGTGCGTGCATTACAAAAAAGATTTTTCTACCTCATTCCCAGGAGTAATGGCATATTTTCAGTAAGCTGGCGTAAACTGTGCGCGTTTAACAACATTTGCGAAAATATTGTAATAGAGGGATATGTAACTCCCAAGAGAATATCAGCTAATCATGGACTTTTATTAAAACTATAGCATTACAGACGCGCCTTTCGCGCACTATTTAACATTTTCTACTTTTACTACAATTCGCTATTACATCACATCAATCTCAAAATATGAAGTGACAGCCGCTCAACGAAGCAAGCATAATCAGTAGACGACCAATCAGTATCACTACAAAAAAGCGGCAACAATACTTCGAGAGATGCGAGTATCAATGTCATCCTTTTTTTTTAGAAAAAAATAGAGTAATCTTCCATCATACGTGATATTTCAGAGATATTCAGTAATTCAATATTAATACTTACAGTTGCTATAATCATACCGTTAAAATACGTAGCACAGAAACGTATGACGCTGACGATTTAATAATCTACGACAAACAACATTGCTGCGTGCGTAAAAAGTGAATATTGTTGTTATTTTATACATAATATGTTTGATAATTTACGCTTTTACGAACGTAATAACATGCAGTTCTCAAACATATAATCTGATTGACATTACGTAAAACTTACGTTTGAGAACTGATACAAAGAGAGATTTGTGAATCTGCCTATGGTGATCGCCAATTGTTTTTGTGATCTCATTATCAGGAAGAGCAGAATTCGATTCTCGCTCGGAGTTAAATCGTACCACAGAGATTCATATGCCGCGTCGCCGATCATCTGACTCTGGAGGTAAAATTAGAGCGAAAATTCGTAATGTGAAAGATACAAGTAGTGGAGAATTTCTACGGTAAAATCAGCAACCATAATTTAGCTCACCTTACCACTTAGATATTCGCCGGCGAAACAGAAGATAAACGCTTCCATATTAGTGACGACGTAAAACAAAAGAGATCTCACTAACATAGAAGAGCCTTGATCGGCGCCGATCGACTGGAATATCGAAAATGTGTGCACAAGCGAATTTTTTCTCGAATCGCGAATTGCATTGTAAAAATATTAAGGTTGTTGAATATAACGTACATATACATGCAAAAAATAATCACGATACTTGTAAATTTGATTTGCATTTTTTTACATTTTGTCTGTGTCATCGAAATGAAAGATTGATTAATCTGTGCGGCAAAAGCCATTAAAATTACTTACTTTAACGATGACAAAGCCCAAGGAGCAAATAACGAGAGTGTTCGATAAGAATTGGCCTAGGGCGATGTACGAGTACAGGCTTTCAATTTTTCCGGTAAAAACAATGATATTTTGATGTCTTCGAATTAACGAGCCTATTGAAATCGTGGAAACAGTTGACTTCTTTTTCTTCGGTAAAATTTCCAATATTTTTTTCCGCAAAATGTCTATTTGACCGCCCACATGGAGCACCTATAACATTATAGAGATAATTCTATTATATTTAATTCTATTATCTGTACTCTCCATAAATTTTGATGTTTCATGAAAGTATTTAAAAAATATATAAGGTAAACGTACCAGTGGCTGAACGTGTATCTATAGCTGAACAAGTACACGAAAATTT